ATTTTCTTCTCTACTTGAAAAAAGGCTGTTAAGACAAAGCTGAATAGATCTGTTGCCAATCTTCTCCAGGAAGATGTAAGGTGGGCCCAGGGGTCCCTAATGACTCTGTGGCCCAAATCAGATGTACTGCTACACTCATAGCATTATGAGAATGGGTCTCCGTGAGTCTTGGACTCAAGCCCTTTCTGCAAGAGAGGAGGAAATGTAAAGCCTTTGGTCACGATTTGTAGGAAGACGTGATTCTCCATCTCATCCAAATAAGAGAAACCGTATCAGAAGCAATTCTATGAGATCCAGCCTGGTGTCATGCAAAGGTGGGGAACCTCTGGCCCCTGGGCTTAATGAGGTGCAACATGGATCCCAGTTTGGCCCACAAGGCCATTTCCCCAAACCACAGCCACCTGCCCCACAAATGATGTCATATATAACATCAAGCAGGTGGAGACATGGCTGCCAATGTGCTCCCTCTTGTGCATTGGCAAGGGAGGCTTGTTCTCCGCACCAATCAACTGATTGGTGGTGTCAGCAAGGCAGCTAGGATTGGCTGTGCTGCTGAGTTTCCCCATGGGGAACTCGGTAGCCAGCTGGTACCTGCAGAAAAATGGAGCTTCAAGTGAGCTGATTGGTGCTCACTGCAAACTCGCTGGGATTGGCTGCACTACAGGGTTCCCCATGGGCAACTCAGTAGTGCAGCCGAATTTAGCTGGCTTACTCTCACTACCAATCAACTGGGAATTGCCTGTGCAATCAGCACAGCCCTGCTAGCTGGGGCTGATGGGAGTTGCAGTCCAAAATGATCTGGAGGGCACCAGGTTGGCAAAGGCTGTGCTAGGCAGTCCACAACATTGATTCTGTATGTTGAGTGGTCTTTTTCTATCTCCGTGGTTTTCCAAATACAAACACAGCTGGTCCTTGCACTTCCTGCCGTGCTGGAACAGCAGAAAAGGAAAAGGCAGGCGCAGCCTAATAACTTTACAACAGGCCTGGCAGCTCCAAATCTGCCCTCTGTTTTTAGAGTGAAGACCCATCAGTAGTTTACCTCTCACAGAGTTACAATTCCCAGCAAACTACTCTTAACAAACTTACAGTGCATAGAATTCTTTGAGGGGAATGATGTGCTTTGAGTGTGCTTTTAAAGGTATGCACAGGCCTAGTCCCAATTCTCTTCGCTCATACCAGCTCTCCATTGGTGCTTGGTCCCATCTGGTGAATAAAACAAAGCAAGCCGTGGGGCTTCCCAAAGCTCCTGAGCCGTAGGCTAGACTGAGGCACTCTAAAGGCTGTGCAAACTTTCTTGGTTCCCTTTCTTAACTCCCTCAGCCCCTGAAACCGGCAACTGGCTTTTCTGTTGCCAGAAAGTGGAAATACTTTTTAAACATGCATAAAAAGGGGTGGTGGTGAGTGAATGGAATCTAGGGTTAAAAGGAGAAGGAATGAGGTGCACCAACGCCCCCAAAACAAAACCTGCCCTCACCTTATTGACAGAATGAGTTCATGTTTCCATCCATTATAGGCATTGCTAGGAGATTCAGCTGCTAAGCCAATACATTTGCTGACCTAATTCTGAGAATCACAAATGCTTCAGTTAAGCAGTGGGCGGGGGGGGGGGGGGAAGGGCTCACAGCCTCCAATTTCCCCCTATTCATAATGCTTCAGAGGAGCAGTAAACCCAGGCTTCCCCCAGGTAGCTGTTAAGCCGCTAGAATGTCCTCTTTGTTGCAACGAGGGGGAAACATAAGTCTGTCTCGCAGGAGAAAGTAAATAGAGCAGCAATAAAAAGTCCCCTCCCTTTGCACCTTAGCATCTGCTCTAACTTTTTGACAGCTCAGATATGAGAGTAAAATGCAGAACGAAGGAACAGTAGTGGTGGTTCCCTGTGGATAAAAGTCATCCCAGGCTTCTCTCCATTCAAGATAACTGAAGCAATAATGTGGGTTTTTTAAGGCTCAGAACACAAACGCTTCTGTTGTCTTCACCTTCATTTCCAACATAGGAATGTGCTGAACTCAGGCCATTGGTCCGATATTAGTCTGCTTTGAGTGGTAGAAGCATTTCATGGATCTCGTCGGACAAAGGTCTCCCTTTGCCAAGCTAAGCTGAGATCCTCGACTGGGAAGATGCCATATTAATGGGATGCCGAAGCACAATATAGGCTCTCTTACTCAAATGTCAGACTCACCTACAGTCCACATTGGACTCGGTATACCTTGTTTATGCAAACGAGGCTCTGATGGCCAAAGTACAGCTGGATAACATACCCCTCAACCGTCCTGATTTGACTGAGACATTTCAGAATTACAGAATCCATCCTGGATTCTGATTGGATCTTGGAATGTCCCATTTTGGCTTTCATGAGAGTGTGGCCCCACAAGATGCCTGTCACCACAGATCTGATCTAGAGTGCCACCACCCCAAGTAGCTAATTGCATCAGGCTTGCCAGCGCCTGCTGTTGTTGAATTCATACATAGCATTAGGGATACCCAAGGAAGTGGATACCTGCCTATTTTGATGCATGCCTACCTGATCGGTATTTACCTCCTGGACAAAGATGCAGATGAGAGCATATGTCTTTCGGATTTTGCACTGCCCCAGATTTTGTGACAGTTCTTGGCTTAGAATACTGAAATGCTTTAAAATTCACATTTTTGGATAAAAAGTGTAGAAATTAATACATACATATATGTATGTATTTTATGATATAGTACTTACATAAACATTTTTTGTGTGCCTCTAAATACCAGTTGCTGGGGATCATAAACAGGTCTGGGTTTTCAGCATCATGACATATCGATACATCAGGATGTCTGAAATAAGGATGAAACTATGTAGTGAACACTAGGGCTGGGCGATACCTGGTTTTCAGCATCGTGATATATCACCAGCTAAACATTGCGATATACTGATACATCGCAATGTCTGACATAAGGATGGAGCTCTGTAGAGGCATTGGTTGGCTTCATGGTTTTCCCCACTTTTTGCTTTTTTTCATACCACACACACACATCAAGATTTGCGATTTATTGCCAGCTCAAAAATTATGAAACTGATATCACAAAATGGATTTGAAACCAGTTTTGAACGATATATCAATATATCGCCCAGCCCTAATCATAAATGGGAGCGTGTGTGGTCGTGCCCATGTCCTTCCCAGAGGCATTTGGTTGGCAACTGTGAGAACAGAATGCTGGACTAGGTGGTCCTTTGAGATCCAGTGGAACTCCTCTTACATAGCATTATTTTGTACCACCTAAGGCAGGGAACTGGACTGTAGCTCCCACCATCCTCAACCATTGGCTATGTTGGCTGGGGTTGATGGGAGCTGGAGTCCAACAACGTGAGAACATAAAGAGAAGCTGCTGGGTTAGGTCAATGGCCCACAGGGCCACAGGTTCCCCAGCCCTCACCTAAAGAGTCCTATATCTGTTTACATATTTTACATATTTTTACATATTTTCTCTACATTCCTATTCTTTCGAAATCCTTAGCATTACCATCATCATCTACCAATTCAAAGAATTTTTATTTATTTTTTGGTGTTGTATTAAAAGGAAATGCATTTATTCTTCCATGTTGGGGTTTTTTTCCCCCCTACCTGGGGAAAAAATGAGATGTTTTACCTTGAATAGTCATTGCATTTTTCTCCATATTGCTTAGGCTAGTGTGTCTGTTACCATGACTACAACCTTCACCATATTGTGCTTGTTTTACAGTCATTAATAAGAGTAAAAGAGCAGATGTATAATTATGCTGTTCTTATTTAATCCATTGGATTGCAGATGGCATTATAAAAACCTTTCCATTTAAAAGAATTCATTTTTGGAGTTGTGTTTTTTTTTATTTTTTTTTATTAAGTAATTCTGTACTGACAGATGCTTCACTTAACTCCAGAAGCACTTGTAGAGAGATTTCTATGTACGACATAAAGGTGAGAGGAACGTGCAGCATAATCTGCTTAATATCCCCCCCAACCCCACCCCGCAAAAAGAAAACAAAGCCTTCAAAATAATTCTCTTTCCAGGTTTTGCACTGTGACTGCTAGGGAGGAATCAGTTTATTTCCAGTGAGTATTAGTTTTGCATGCATTCATTGCCTAAATCTGGACCCATCTGCACTATAAATTAAAAGAAGTATAATACCACTTTAAAGACTCATAACTTCCCCCTAAGAATCCTAAGGAGCTGAGAGTTGATATGACACCCCTATTCCTCACATAGAAAGGCAATTCCCAGGGCAGAATAACAATCAATCCCTCTTCCCAGGAAACTCTGGGATGTTTAGCTCTGCATCAAAATGTCTAGTGGTGAAATAGATCCACATGATGAGGAAACAACTGATGGGCCAGCCAGTGTTCTTGCTTTCTTAGGGGTGACTTCACATGTACCATCTGGGTTTATTTTTTGTCTGGGTTTCACTCCCCACCATGTAGAGGAGTCTTGGTTGCACATAGGAGATACCTCACCAAAGATAATTTGCTCTGTATACACACACACACACACACACACACACACACACACACGGCAGGGCATCTCCTGTGGACATTTGCTTCTTCTGTGAGCAAAATCCAGAAGATTTTGTGAATAAGTTGGCTTTACTTATTTCTGTCTTGCTATGCTATGGTTCTGATTTAACTAAAGCATGAACCTAAAGCCTCATGGAGGTCCATACAATTATCCATAACACATAGAAGGGAGACGTTACATAAATCATCATCTGTGACTGAAGTTGCAGTGATGTGAGAGGTTCTTGGTGTGCAACTGATGAATTCCAAACTGGAAACGAAATGGAGAAGCCATCCATTTAGTGCTTATTCAACAACAGAACAATGGAAGTTAGGCAAGATTCTCAGCCGGGCATGTGAATGGTTTCAGAACTCACAGAGTTAAAGAGTTCTGGTGACGTCTCTTTCCTGAGGCGTGGTTAGAAACACTTAAGGGAGGGGTTTGACTCCGTGTGTTTCAGTCTGTTTTTCGGACGTGATGCGAAAGGCGAGAACTGACACATTCTCTTGCCGGTAGCAGAGCGAAACACAGCGGTGAGAAGCAGAGTGCAGCACGTGTGGAATAAATCAGTCCAGACACAAGGCAGTCCTTATCTCACCGCTGTGTTTCGCTCTGCTACCGGCAAGAGAAAGAGGCCTGAGGAGGACTTTTGCAGGAGGCACGGATAGCTTGCAGAGTTCCGCAACGGAAGCGTGCCGGGCTCCATGTTCAGTCTCTGTGTACCCTCTTGTCCGGTGTAAATAATTCCAACAGGGCAGAAACGTGAGCTTCCAACTGAATGCATCTTTATTCACTAGTAATTGGGCAACTATAATGATATATCCTATTATTAGTCTAAGCAGTAGGCAGAATGAGATGACTGCTAATTTCAGACTGAAAGATTCTGATCCTTATTAAAATTAAAGATGCGGAGCAAAGCCTGCCATTTGGGTTATTGCTCTAACTCTTACTTCCTTCTCTCACATCTCTGAACCTAAGACTGTGCTACTAAACATATACCGTATTTTTCACTCTATAAGACGCACCAGACCACATGACACACCTAGTTTTTGGAGGAGGAAAACAAAAAAAATATTCTGAATCTCAGAAGCCAGAACAGCAAGAGGGATCACTGCGCAGTGAAAGCAGCAATCCCTCTTGCTGTTCTAGCTTCTGTGATAGCTGCGCAGCCTGCATTCGCTCCATAAGATGCACACACATTTCCCCTTACTTTTTAGGAGGGAAAAAGTGAGTCTTATAGAGCAAAAAATACGGTATTTGAAAGCAACCTCCATTACAGTAGATGAAAGCTTTCTCACATATCTGTGCCTCCCTAATGCTCAGGGTGACTCGGGAATATTAGGAAATGTATCAGGTCAGGTCATTAAACCATCTAGCCTAGTAGTATTAACCCCTATTGCCAGCAGGTCTCTAAGATCAGTAGAACAGTTGCTCTACCACCAAGCTGTGGTCTCTATGTGTGTAAGGGCAGGGACTTCTCAGTGGTGGTGCAGTTGTGAAAGAATTCTGGTACCCTGTTCGGAAACAGTATTTTTATGTTGTTGTATACATACTGCTCTAGTGATGATGTGATTTTAGATGTTTTAAGTTATAATAGTATAATACTGCTTCAAGCATTTTAAGAAAAAGCATGCCAACAAAAACTAAATGGATTAATGTACTGAGGATCAGGGTGCAAAAATCCTGACTTTACTATTTTTGGAGTGGCTAAAATGGAGATACACAGACATGCTCCATAGGACTTGGGAAGCAGCAGCAGCAGCAGCGTATGAAGTGGGCTCTTCTTGTAGGGTGACTAGATGCAGAGAGGGACAGGGCACCTGCCCATTTCAAACCTGTGTAGAAGAGGGAATTTTGGCAGCTGAGGAATCCCAGGAATGCTATTTGTTAGCTTGGCTCTCTGAGCTCTTTTGTCGTGGAGTTACTTAATTTATTCTTGTAATTGGTGGGGTGACCAGGTGCAAATGAGGGCAGGGCTCTTGCACCATTAATGGTTTTTTGGAAGAAGGCATTTCAGCAGTTGTAGCTTGTCGTGATAAATACATAAACAGTATACTATTAAAGGTGTACAAACCCTGACCTTTTAAAATTAGGATTGCAGCCTTGGTCTCTTTTCAGAATGAATAACTGAACTGGCTTGTCACTTCCCCAGTCAAAACAACAGCCCAAACTAGATACGCTCCATTTCCAACCAGGTGACTGAATATGAAGGATTCTGGGGCTCTTAAATAGTTGTACAGAAGAAGAAGGAAATTGGGTAAGCACAGTTCATCCTGCAGTATGATGAGGAAAACTGCAAAAATCATTTCAAAAAGCTGAAATGTTTTAAGACTGCAGTTCTGAAAGGCACCGGAACTCTGTTTTCATTTGCATTCTGCCTCACCATTTTGTTGACCGGTCTGATTGGAGATCAGCCCAGTCTTAACTTGAATTCACCTCTCACTCAGAGCAAATGATTTCGCTGGGTAGCTGTAATGGGTTTATTTATTTGCTCCCGCCTGACATTACGAGGGCAACAGCTCGGCAGAAGCTCGGCGGATCTGCGGCTTGAAGGTCATGTCAAGGCTCACTCAGCTCTTGAGAAAGCAGCTTTGGCAGTTAACCTCAGACCTGGCCTCCTCCGGGAGATTTGCAAAAGCCTCGTGTGCCTCTCCTCTCACGCTGGCAATGCATTACTGCCAGGGCTTGGCAGTGCCCAGTCAGGAGGCGACAGTGTTACAGGATGAATTTTGACCTCCATTATTCAAGTTCCCGTGTCCTCTAAGTGGGGATGGGCAAATATGTTGCTTTCAGTTTCTCATTTCCCCAATCTTCAGTTCTCATAATGTCAGCATCAGTTTGTGATCTATTTATTTTTTGATTTTTTAGTTCTCATGAAAACTCGTCAGCATTTTTGTGCAAATGTCTTCTAACATTTCCATTTCTGTGTGCAGTTTTGCCTAATATAATGCATTTTTGCCAAGCAGTCATCCCTAATACAGTGGTACCTCGGGTTACATACGCTTCGGGTTACAGATGCTTCAGGTTACAGACTCCGCTAAACCGGAAATAGTACCTCGGGTTAAGAACTTTGCTTCAGGTTGAGAACAGAAATCGTGCTCTGGTGGTGGTGCGGCAGCAGCAGCGAGAGGCCCCATTAGCTAAAGTGGTGCTTCAGGTTAAGAACAGTTTCAGGTTAAGAATGGACCTCCAGAACAAATTAAGTTCTTAACCCAAGGTACCACTGTATAATGCATTGGGGCATCTTATTTTCACTATTATATGCATTTATATGCACTATTTTCTCTACTACGTATGCATTTGTGCACACATTACTTGGCTGGAGAACAGCTTTGCAAATTTCAGAGAAGGGCAAATATCAAAGGATGGCATTGCTTTGGATAGTGTGATTTAGGCAAGTTTGCCTTTCCTATCTCTGGAGCAGCCTTCACCAACCTACCGCTGTTGTGTGCCACCTCTTCCTTTCTCTGTGTTACGTGTTTTCATTTCCTGTACTTGTGCTTCTCTCTCTCTCTCTCTCTCTCTCTCTCTCTAGTTAGCATGGGACAGGAAGAGGTGCAAGGAAAGAGAAACCAAAACGACGACAAAAAGACAAATGAAGGGAGGATGGGCAGCAGAGGTTTAGGAGCTGACGAAAAGCAAGCCAGTGTAAATTAAGCTTGGTGGTAAAGGTAAAGGGACCCCTGACCATTAGGTCCAGTCGTGACCGCTCATCTCGCTTTAATGGCCGAGGGAGCCAGCGTATAGCTTCCGGGTCATGTGGTCAGCATGACTAAGCTGCTTCTGGCGAACCAGAGCAGCGCAAGGAAACGCCGTTTACCTTCCCGCCATATTTATCTACTTGCACTTTGATGTGCTTTCGAACTGCTAGGTGGGCAGGAGCTGGGACCGAGCAACGGGAGCTCACCCCATCGCGGGGATTCGAACCGCCAACCTTTTGATTGGCAAGCCCTAGGCTCTGTGGTTTAACCCACAGCGCCACCCACGTCCCTATGCTTGGTGTTACACTAGAGCTAAACCACATTCAATATCCAGGCTGCAGCTGCTGCTTTGCCTAAGCCTGTTAGAAGGAAAACAAGCCTTTAAAATAGTGTTTAAAATAGTGTTTTGTGTTGGGTTGCCAGGTCACATGACCATGGTGAATCGGCTTAGGGTCCAACCTAAGTCCCTTTCCCTCTGATCCTGCCCCTATCACACCCCTGGAACACCCATTTGGGGGGGACTTACACCAGACTTGACTCAGCCAGCTTTGGCTCAAGTTAACCCAGTGTGTCTTTAACTGAGCTTTGGTCGGGGACTTAATGGCACCTGAGCCCAGCTCAGCCATGAGTCAGCTGAATGTGTTGGAGATCCACTGCACCCAAAGTTGTTCATTCCTGTGGACAGGCCCATGCAGAGAGAGGCAGGCAGCCAGGTACACCGGCTGCTTTTTTTGTTTGAGTTTATAACCTTATTCTAACAAGACTCTTGCCCCTGGAAAGAGACAAGATCATTTTTAAAAAAAAACCCCAGAAACATACACAGCAAAATTACATGTCTAAGCATGTGACAAAAGGGATTTTTAGCAGGCTTCAAAAACCACATAGCAAAGGTGCCTGCCTAGTTTTTAAAAAGAGTAGGAGCTGCCACACTAAAAACAAAAAAATCAATTTATTGCAAGTGCTGAATAAACACCAAGTTTTAGTTTTACAGATTGAAGCAGTCAAGTAGGCTTATCATTTATAAAATTATAGATAGTGTGGAGAAAATTGATAGACACAACCTTCGCTCTTCCTCTCTCACAGTACCAGAGAGAGGCCGAAGAAAAAAAAAGAAATGTTCTTCACACAGTATGTAGATAATTTGTGAAATTTGCTGTCACAAAAGCCCAGATCTGGCATCCAGAATCTGTGAAGAAGAATGATGTGAGAGGAAGTCACGTGCTCTAGAAGGTCTCCTTGCTGTTTTCACTGCCTTCCGCAAGTTGGAGGGCAATGTTCTTGCTCCTGGAACATTCCGGAACTCACAGGGAGCCAAGATGGTTGGAAGGCTCCTTCTTTTCCATGCTTCAGAAGGTCACCCACCAACTTGTGGGGGACAACCAAGATGATGAGATGGGGGTGAGGTGGAGCCAGCATGCTCATCCCTATGGTTGTCCCTTGTGTGATTACTTCACAGATTGTGAACACCTTTGAGAGGGCCAAGATGTGGTGGTGATGGCTGCTGCCTCAGAGAGCTTTAATAGAGGAAAAAGCTTCCAGAAGCCACTAGCCATGATAGCTAAATGTCCAGAGGCCATTGGTTGAATGCCAGTTGTGGGAGCAGTACCTGAGAACAGAAGAGACAGTGGGGTCCCTGTGGGGTTCAGGGAGAAGAAGATACAGTGCTACAGAGTAGAGCAAGGCAAAGCAACAAGAAGAAGAATAAGAACAACAACACAGTGAGAGGTTCAGAGAGATCTGTAGTGGTATAGAAAGAAGAGGGCCCTCAGGATGAGAGATGGTTAAAATAAATTTAAAAAATGGATTAAAATTTAACAAAATGCCTCCCCGCACCCATGGTTAATGCAGTTGTGTTAGCACAAACACAGAATTGGCCTTTAGAGTGATCTGAGTTTACCAACACTAATAAGAGCTTAAGGGCAGTAACTAG